CCTTCGAGTTCTTCTTTGGTTCTACCTTGGACTATCACCGTGGTACAAGGAACCTGACCATAACACAAAGAAAAACAGACAAAGAAAAAAAGAATGGTTAATAGTTGAAATTCTCGACATGATGATAAAGAGACAAAACATCAAGAAGGTACGGATTAAAAACAATCCAATTACGAAAGTACCATAAAGCAAAAATCATCAGGATAATTACCACGTGAGTCTTTATAGAAAAGGCTCTATGCAAGCTAGGTTACTGTGATGGGAAAGTGATTGAAGCTGGCATGACAAGTCAATACCCATAACATTGCAGATTCTTCTTTTTATTTTATCAAAAATCTCTAAATCCATAGCAGAAGTACTAGACTAAATGTGGCAGCAATATTCAAAACATGGACAAGTACATGGACTTATAAATATATTATTATTTACATTATTCGGACTATTGTTCTCATCTTTGTCGCCATATTTATTACAACGTTTCCGCCGTTGTACGCTCCGGCCTTCTTCAGGTGGTTGGAATGTCGAAATGAACCCTTTATTTCGCTCACTGGGCTAGACTGTTCTAATTCCAAGTGCCATGTTTAATGGGTGTCAGTTATCAGTTATCTCCTGTTAATTTCCCTCGAGAAAGCTTTCCACTGCCTTAACCGGGTATTGAACTCAACTTCTTTGGGTCCTGTCACTGGATCTAATCAACGCCTTTATCCAGTAGTCCGAATAATGTAAATAATGTACATAATACCACGGAAATCTCAGGAATATAGGCATAAATATGTCAGATAGATTCTGGCGCAAAAATGTTTAGCACGTCAGTGTTTTCTTGCAATTGATTTAATATAATCTTTCTACTTCCTTTCAACCGGAAAAGGTTAGTCCTAGAAGGTGTACTGAATTACTCTTCTGAAGGTTAGCATCAGCCACGTTTTTTAGAAGGTAAAGAAAAAACTAATTTGACAAGTAAAAGGGAATTGAAACCGCTCCACAAAAAAGAAAAACAAATAGCATCTGAATGATCACAAAAGTGAGGCAGATTAGGAGATTCCAGGTTCGTTTTTAGAAAACTGTGTCACTATTGTAGATACACTTTGACCTTTTCTCTTGAAGCCTCACTCGCCACTATGATTTATCAGATGTAGTGCTTTGTAAGTTAATCTGATGATGTGATTTATATTGTTCAGGTTAGCATTACCTAAACAAAGAATGTTCAGAAATAGAAAGAATGAGTATCCCAGATGAAACAGATATGCAAAAAATAAAACAGGAAAAAAGACATACTGATCAGTAGGATGCATAAAATCCAAAAACGATTCACTGTTATTAGAGAAAGAAAATTACTTTTATGCATATAAACCCTTCCATAGTTTCTGCTATCATCTCTTACCTAGAAACCACAAAGCATATGGACTCGATGGTATCCCTTTAATATTCATTAAAAAGTGTGCTTCCGAACTGGCTCCTGTTCTCTCAAAACTCTATAATAAATGTCTCGTTGCCTCTAGCTTTCCTGCTTGCTGGAAGTCATCGTCTATTGTTTCAGTTTTTAAGAACTCTGATGAACCAACTATCGGCCTATTAACCTTCTACCTCTTTTGGGGGGAAACTTGTAGAGGCCACAATCAATGCTGAATTGGTTCATCATCTCTCATAGCAAGGCCTATTCTCAGACAAGCAATATGGCATTTCGTTTCTACAACTCAACTGTTGATGTTCTAATGATATTTGCGGAAAGAGTTTATCATGCCCTAGAAAAAACCTGTGAAGTATGGGTTGTTGCAGTGGGCATGTCAAAAGTCTGGTTGATGGGGTCTGGAATCCAGGTTTTCTTCACAAGCTGAAAATTTACAGTGTCTTGGGTCAATTTTTTTCTTATCAAATCGTGAAATGAGATTCATCCTGAATGGCCACTCGTCTAGATCCTTTCGTACAAACGCAGATGTCCCCCAGGGATCCATTCTTGGTCCTATTTTATTTTTAATTTTCATTAATGATATCCACTCTCAACTTGGTATCTCCACTTACCACACAACAATTTACTACTGCCTCGATAGTAGGGCTTATCAGTCTGACAACGTCAAAATGGCAGCCGATGTCTGTAAGCGTTCTGAAAGCAAAGGAAGTAGTTGTCGCAGATTACTTCTACAACACAAAGAAAAATCACTGTAAGTACAGACTCGAATATCGAGGGGCAGAAAGAAATCCTGAAAACTCGATTCGCCGGTACTATCTCGAATCACAATGCGTGTAACCAGTCAGAAAAATAACTCACTCTCTAACAAACGCTGTAGCCAAAAATGCCCAAATTTTTCCGCTCTCGAATCGAGAAAACCAACTGCTTTTATCAGCAGAACCTATTTTTTTTATTCATCGACAGCTGGGAGAGGATGTTCAGTAATTTGCATATCAAAATACTTTGATAGCGACTCTTGCGACGGACTTGTTTTTGGTTTTAATTCAAATATTCCATTTTCAGCATGTTATGCGGAATACGTCCCCTTTTGTTTGGTAAGTAATTTTCTTTTTCGCCACTTTTTCCGTCGTAGGATACACGCGATGCGCTGTCGTTTGGTTTGACGAGGTAAGTCGCCGTTTTCTTCGCTATAATGTCTAAAATGACCTCAAGTCAGTAGTTGACTGGAGCAAGAGATGGCTTGTTAATTTTAACGTCACCAAAATTAAACTTCTCTCCATTAATCACCAGAAAGATCCGTTTCTGTCCTCATCAGCATGGCAGATGCTATCCGCCAGGAAAGCCATTCGTTGCACCTTCTCGGGCTCGCGTTCTCTGCTGATATCACGTGGAAAGACTACATTAAATCGATTGCTAGGTCAGCTGCTAAAGAGTCAATTCACTATATCGGGCTAGACGATTTTCTCTCCCGAATCTATCTTACATATCTATACGTCTACCATCCGTCCATGCTTAGAATATTGCAGGCACTTTTGATCCGGTGCCTCTGCTATTTCCCTTGAGCTCTTTGATAAGATCCAGAGAAAGATCTGCATCATTATTGTCCCTGATCTGGCAGCTCAGTTCCTGTCACTTTCCCACCACCGTAAAGTTGTCTCTCTATACCTTTTCTATAAATACGTTCATAGTTTAGTGGCATTACTGCCTTGCTTGGGGTGATTCCGATTAAAACAAAAACTTCAGAGATGGAACGTATACATCGTAAAACTTTTGAACGAAGAAAGAGAACAACTGGCAATACACAAAATATCGAAGGGCCAGAAATATTAAAATCTGAAATGGGATCTACACTGGCCAAATTGAACAGAAGTTAAGCAGACGGAATCGTAATAGAGATTCTGGAAGACTTAGATGATTTCACAAGACTACAGAAATAATATATTTAAAACACGACAGTGGTGATATACAGAAAAACCTAAGTAGATCAATTTTCATAGTACTGCTCAAGAAGCCAGGTACAAATGATTGTGATTTCCATCGGAAATTCAGCCTAATGAGCCATATAACAAACATTATCATCCGAATAATGTGAAACAGATCCCACAGCAGGTATCAGACCTGAAATAGCTCAAAGAATGCAATATTTATACGCAGAATGATTTCAGAAAGAGCAATACAAATGCAGAAGGATGTGTGCCTGTGTTTTATAGATTATACAAAAGCACTTGATAAGGTACGTCATAAAGAACTGTTGGAACAGCTCGTTAACCTTGACCTATTTGGGCAAATATTATAATAATCCAGAATCTATACTGGCAGAAAACCACATGCATACAAATAGAAAATGGCTTCAGTAAATAACAAAAATAAAAAGATATGTAAGACAAGGATGCGTCTTCTCACCAGACCGATTTAACCTATAAAATGAAGCAATTCTGAGAGAATTAAAAGTACTACCAAGATTTATTATTGGCGGCCAGAATGCTAACAATTATACGCGGATGAAACAATGCTGATAACAGACACAGAAAGGAAACTACAAGAAATCGTACAGAAGGTTGTGAAGGAAAGCGAGAAGAAAGGACTATCAACTGAAAGAAGACAGAATGGATAGTTGTTAGCAAAAGGAAGAACACATGTAAATTACAAATTGGAGATACCGAAATAAAGGAACAGAACAATGTAAATATCTGTGGAACCTTTTAACAGAGAATGGAAAGTGCTACACTGAAATCCAAAGGTGCATTGGGATAGCAAAAATGCCTTTCATAAGCTCAGCAAAGTATTAAGAAACAGGAAAACTTCACTATTTACATTATTCGGAGTATTGTCCTCATCTTTGTCGCCATATTTATTACGCTCCGGCCTTCTTCAGGTTGTTGGAATGTCGAATTGAACCCTTTATTTCGCTCACTGGGGTAGACTGTTCTAGTTCCACGTGCCATGTTTAATGGATGTCAGTTATCAGTTATCTCCTGTTAATTTCCCTAGGTCTGGCCGTTGGCTTGTTGCTACAATAGGAAAGACAAGTACAGAATCGAGGTCTGCTGCTATTTTCCATTAGTTAATGGTAAAATAGCTTTGACAATTAGGGCGTAGAAAAACATCCTTTCATTACTGATAAACAGTAGCTCACACGAAAAGAAAGAGTAAAAATATTGGGATAATACCATCTGTAAGATTAATAAAATTAAACTTATTTATTTGGAAAAATTCTTTAAAATGGTTAAAATCATATTTTATCTGAATACGAGTATTTTAGTCTTAACCACTGTCTACCTGCACTGTCAGGTTATTCCCTATTTAAATGTGAATTAGTTACATGTCTATGCATTCTATATGTCATCTAAGACATAATTTGTCCCAGGGTTAAGCATTTCATCAATCATCTAGCTTAATTCTTCGACTAAAACAAACTGGTCGAACAAAATGAAACCAGAACCTAGAAACGAAACAAAAATCTAGGCTGCTGGAAAATTAGACGGAAGCTTAGAGAACGTAATTCTCTTAATTAGTCGACTAATCAAATATGAAGGAGACAGGCTGGATAGAAATTCCGGCAAAATGGGAAAGAAAAAAGAAAATCTGGAAATTAGACAGACGGATGAATTAAGGACAGAGGAAATGGAAGTTTAGGTTCGAAAAATAATTCTCTAGACAGACGGGATTGAAATATCTCTAAAGGTAATATGGGAATGACGGATAAAAGTGAGAAAGATGGAAAGAGGGTCAAAAAGTAAATAAGGAGAAAGAAAGAAAGAAAGAAAGAAAGAAAGAAAGAAAGAAAGAAAGAAAGAAAGAAAGAAAGAAAGGGAGATATAAAAAGGAAAGAAAAAAGATATAGGAATGAGAAATTAAAACTAACGAATTTAACAGAAAGATAGAAGGAAAAAAATTAAAGATAAAGAAAGATACGTCAAGCTAAAAAGGGAGGAGAATTAAAAGAAAGAGAGAGAGATTTAAAGAGAAAAGACAGACTTGAAAGAGACAAGGTAAAAAAAAGAAGAGAATTTAAAATGGAAGAAAGAAAGAGAGATACAAAGAGAATGTAAATATATAGGAACGAAACAGAAATAAAGAGGAAGGAGAATTTAAAAGAAAGTAAAAAGGAAAGAAGGAAAACTAGAAAGAAAGGGATGAAAGAAATAAAAGGCGATTTAAAAAGAAAAGAAAAATGAATTAATAATTAAATAAACAAAAAGAGATTTCAAGAGAAAAGTACTATATATGAATAAAACAGTAAAAGCAGAGCGGAAAAAAATCAAAGAAAACAAATGAGAGAGAGAGAGAGAGAGAGACAGAGAGAAAGCTTGAAACAGAGAGAGAAATATTGAACTTAGAAAAGAATTTTAAAAAATGAAGACAAAAACAAAAATGACACTCTACGAATCGATATTCAATGAAATGATTGATCTTTTATCCGTTCTTATATTTATAGACACTTTATGCGTAATTGAAACTACAAAGAAAGAAAGAAAGAAAGAAAGAAAGAAAGAAAGAAAGAACTGAGAGAGTCAATATTAGAGGAAAAAAGAAAAAAACAAAAACACAAAGAAGAAAAACCGAAACATCAAAAGAAAAAATATAAGACAAAGAAGAAAAAATAGGAAAGAAGATACGAAGAAAGAAAGAAAGAAAGAAAGAAAGAAAGACAGATTTCGGAACTTAGAGAGTCAATATCAGAGGGAAGAGAAAAAAGCAAAATAGAAAGAAATCAAGAAATCAAAATCAAAAATGAAACACCCAAAGAAAGAAAAATAGAAAAAGAAGGAGAAAATAAAAAAAAAAGAAGATGCGAGAAAAGAAAGAAAAAAATTTAAGAAGTGACAGAGTTAATAGGAAGCAAAGAATGAATGTATCAAAGAAAGAAAGCGATAAAAGAAAGAAAAATAATGATACGAAAACACATATATCAAAATATAAAACTAAATATGGCAAGATTGGAAATGACTGAATTAAATTAGAGAAACAAAAGAAATAAACCAAAAGAGTTATCTTTTCGAAACATTTAGTCATAGGTAAAAAAAAATCTTGTAATTCCTTCTATCGCTCGTGTGTCATATAGCCAAGTTGTTCAAGTTATTGAAACTAAGAAGCAAATATACACTGCCTTATAAAGTATATTTCAATAAACAGATACATGTTTATGCACTATTTTATGCAATAATAAAATATTTTGTTCTTTATGATAAGACTTGGTTATATTTTCAACACTCTACAGTTACAGAAGCTCCGTAAATGTAAATAATGTAATAAAAAAATATTTTTTAAAAATGAATAATCAGCAACACACATGAAGTTACGAAAGGCCAATTTCAATAGATTCTTTTAATGTCATGTTCTTTTCCGTTATTTTTTCGATTAACGCTACCCACATTTTTTTTTTAATATGCGTGAATTCCCATGGTTCCTTGGGAAAGATTGTGGAGTGGTTTCCCTTTGTCTATTTATTCTTCTCCTGTGTTAGTTGTATTATCTATGTTAAAGAATGTTACTATTTGAACATAAATGGGGAAGAATAGTTTCATGCCTTTCCCAAAGGAATTAATTCAAAGTCAACAGGAATAGACTAGACTTATTCCACTTTCAGTGCAGATGATCGTTAACTCTCCAAAATATCTCCTTTCGAGGGGATACATTTACCCAAATATATATTTACATCGGAGGCGGCACTGAAAGATTCTCGGGCCGACTCACTTCCCCAAATATGAACAAATGACCAAACATGACATTTTACATATTTTTTATCCAAAGCGTGAACGTTTTAGTCTCCGCTTTGTACATTCTTATTGAAGCCCGTAGGATTCTCTACAGTACGTAGGGCCGTAACAGCAACACGCATTTTTTAAAAATTATTACTTGAGAAAAAGAGGGGAATTTTTAGTGATGTTCCTAGACTGACCAATGGCTAGAATCAGGCTTATCAAAGAAAGATTACAATGCTGCGGCTTTTAAAAAACTCCTATAAATGTTTATCGAAATCCGAGAATAAAATTGTATTTGTACATGTGTAACCTTCAACACAATTTTGTTCGCTATCTCCACTAAGCTTTTTGAGTAACGCGGACCTTACGGATCATCTGGCTTTCTTTTCACTTTTCAGTTAGGGTCTGTGGGTTGTCTCATTCGGGTTTCTCAAAATCTTACGATATTCAATGACGTCGATGTACATTGTGCACCGCAGATAATAAATGAATAATTCTCATCTACGACCGCAATAACAATTAGGGCCTGAAATGTGAACTCCTTCAATAAAAAGGAAAAATACTTTTGACAAACTCTAACAATAGGGTTTATTGAATATAATGTCTTTATTGTCCGGAAAAATATGGCTGTAATAATTATTATCCAATTCGAGGTTCCTCCGAACTATTACGTGCTAATATCCTTGGAAAAGGTATGAATCCTCTTCTTCTTCCCCCATCTATGTTAAATAGTAGGAGAGAATAGGTTCTATAACCTTGGATAGCAACTGGTTTAAGAGAAAGACAACTCTGATTTCAAAAACTGCGGAGGGTCGCTTGTGGCACGTAGTGCACCAGGTCTCTGTATTCGGCTCTTCAAAAAGTGTGGTTGCTTCTGCACAAAGCCTTCATCATTATAATCAAATGATTTGTGCGGATGGTCCGGTTGTCGGTTTCTAAGAATTGAGTTGCTTGACACTCATACGTCGAATACGACGGGAGAGTCTAGTAGTAGTTCCTCCAGATCACCGTCTAGTGATTTCATACAATTTAACGCTGATTTGCCCTATTACACATGTTTTGTTGAATTCTCTAATGGCCCTTAATGAGTTGTAAAATGAAACAAACTGAAATGGGGATAATATATATAACTATTTTTTACTGTCGCTAAGTAAAGAAAATAATTTTGAAAACTAACTTTGAAGTAGTCAGGTTCTTCGCACTTGGAGAAATATATTTTCCTCTATTAACCTTATACAACACTAGGCTAATCTGGATGAAGATGAATTACTAACTAGCCTCACAAGCCCAAGTGGAGTGAGTTCGATCTTCACTGGGTGTCTTGTGAAAAATAAATGTTAGTAAAAGACCCTGTTTCGTGGCTAGGAAAGTTGAATATATTCCACTGATAGCAGTAGGTCTGTGTACGATTTCAGTTAAAAACATGTTAAAATTCTCAGTTTCTCCCGAGGAGAGAGTGATATTTAAAAATTATATTAAAGTAAAACACAATACGAGAATCTAATTTAAATTTGTTTCCCAGTTAAAAGACTCCGTGTGCTGATAATCCGTTTACCATTAGAAAATTAGTTTTTAAAAGGAGAAAGAAGAAAAGCCTCTTTGTCAATACGTGGCTTGTGTGTTCACTGTTGTTCTACTATAAACGGATTCACAAGCGGACCTGTAGCCTGCTCACGGAATCGATTGTAACCAGGTCATCATCGAAATCAAACCTAAACAAACGCCGACAAAACACTCCCTGCGTGAACCGTGCGGGGTGTGTTTTAGCCGTGCACGGTCGTTTTTCTCGTCCAATGTGTCCAGCAAGCCAAATATGGGTACGTGTCTTTGTCGGCTGTTCCGATCCGTCTTACGCTCTCTGAAATGAATCCGTTTTTTGACGGTGATCATCTAGAGGTTCGTTGTGTCCCTCACGGAGAGTTATTAGTTTGCTTCGGGATCGTGGTAACTTGGTTCTCGCTTGATTGTAAACGATCGTCCTCAATGTCGAAGTGTAATAATAGTGCTATAAGAACGAATAGAAAAATTCGTATTTAAAAAAGAGAAAACTGAATAATCCCTTTGTAAATTCTTGGCTTGCCAATACATGTGTCCAGTGTTGTTCTGCCTCAAGTTTCTTTATTGAACCTCCTCCTGAAGAAGAAAACAACTGGATTTACTCGTTTTTAGAGACAAGGAAACGAAGAAAATGTTGAGGCGTCTGGGAAGATACGTATGAGTGCATCAATAAATTCGTATCCTGACACGTAATTATCAAGTGAATTTTAATCTGAAATTTGCAGTGTATTTCAATATGTGTAATGAATAATTACCACTGAATGAAATGCATTCAAAATAAAAGAGAGCATTATTTACATTATTCGGACTGTTATCCTCATCTTCATTGCCATATTCAAAACGTTTCGGTCGTTGTAAGCTCCGGCCTTCTTCAGGTGATTGGAATTTCGAACCGAACCCTTTATTTCGTCCACAGGGGCAGATTGCTCCAGTTCCACGTGCCATGCCTCATCCGGATGTCTCATTTACTTCCAATTATCTCAACTCTCCAAGTTTTTTTTATCAACATTGCTGTATCCTGGTATTGAACTCACAACTTTTTGGGTCTAATCACTGGATCTAACCAACGCCTTTATCCACTGAGCCATGTGTCCTTGGGGACGAAATAAATGGTTCGATTTGAAATTCCAATCACATGAAGAAGGCTGAGGCGTACAACAGTCGAAACGTTTTGAATATGGCAATGAAGATGAGGATATCAGTCTGTAAAATGCAGATAATCATAATACGTCATCTCAGAGATATAGACAGATAGTGAAAAGATCATGTTGAAAAATAAGTATTTATTCTGTAAACATTGTTTTTTCATCATGAAACTACAGATTTTTTATATACTTGTGTAAATAAGTTGAGACAGTTTAGTCTTAACATAGACTCAACTTTAAATCAACAACCCAAGTTTTACTTTTGTACAACGAAAAATTACATGACCAACATAAAAAGCAATCATGTCCCCGATTTTTCTAAGGCGATGAGGTTGCAATCAGCCTTAGTTTGTAGTTGGCAACGCATTCGTTTTAGGTTAATCAGTTCCCAGACAGAAAAGATGAAAACACATCGCTTCTGTGCGTCTTTTCATTATTGGTAAGAAGAGATTACAATCAGTATGGCGTCGAATGATTGCAGACAAAGTTACTTGCAAATAATGTTATTGCATATAATTCTAACAGCGGCAAAGGGCAGGTATTGTGGTTAAGAAAGATTCGGCTTTAATAAAATCTTTTACTAATGGACAGTTCAAGTTTATATAATTTTAAATTTATTTCTGACTGTTTCCTATGTCAATCTGCCATTTGTTACTCGATTAGAAGTCCTGTTCTTTTCTCAGTGAAAATATTGTTTACAACGAAATCACAAGTAAAATCTTTGCTTTTCTACAGAAATAAAACAGCTCAAAAATGTCTACGAAAGTAATTTTAAATTGGTGTAAATAATATTAATGCCTCGCAGGCCGAACGGCTATTAAGTACATGATAAAAGAGAATGTGTATTGCGTAATATTAACGACTGGGTGAGCTCAATGGAGCGCTAATGCACACGTAACAAAACCTTCTCTGGGTGGGCTAAAAAAAGTCCATAGGCCGACTACGAAGGAGTGAGTCTAAAGCTGTGAAATCTTGCATCCATTAATTTAATCTTGTTTTATTAACAAGTGAAATGTTTCTTTACAGGTAAAGTGACATCTGGCTGTTCAAATAAGACTTGAAATGTAACTCCTAGTAACTTCTCTTGAAAATGGAACCAAATTTGGCATTGTGGTGTTATCAAGTAGAAAAGCGGTTTATCCACCAATGGAATTCATGCTGTCATTGTTCATGGATAATATTCCAGGTTTATCAACAGTGAGAAAGTGAACAGATGAATTTAGTTTGAGGTAGAAGGGGGATTCTTCAAGATTGCCCAATGACAAAAATTAACCCCTGAAGACGATCTCGGATGAAATTGAAAGTACTTGGAAAATAAAAGAAACGAAAAAATTACGACGCCTTACTTAATGAATTTAATATCAACATTAAGAAGTCAATCAGAGAATTCGAGAGAATTAAAATAAAATAACTAGACTTAATAAATCCAGATTATTCAATGAAGATATGCTACTTAATTATACATACATATATATATATATATATATATATATATATTAGTAACACACACACACACACACACACACATATATATATATATATATATATATATATATATATATATATATTAAAAGATATTTTTGCATTGAAAAAAATACATGAATAAAAGTAAAAGTGATCATATTCGTAAATCGCGCGCTAAAGATATCTCTATTGCCGGCCTTGAGAATAGCGGGTTTTTTTCTTGTTTTTTTTGGGGGGGGGTTATCGTCATCCTTGGTAAAAGCCAAGTGATCAGTTGAGATTGGTTCACTGCAAATACCAAATTTCGTGAAAGCTAATGTATGAAAGTGTTATAGCCCTGTGATTATGACATCATTGAAAAACGTTCTTTTTCAATAAAGACTAACATAACCAATACAGTCCGAATTACTAGAGAAAACAGAATGACCAAACCTCAGCTCACGAACTACAGGCAAATGACATTTATGGTCTATCTCTCGGAAATATATTAGCTGGGTGCCTTTCCTCCATACAATTGATATAAAAAGCAAATGACAAGATTCGTGATTTTTTAATAGAATTTAAATTTTACCCAGTTGGATTAAAATGTAATTTTCAGGTTCTTAGGGAAAATATTTTAATGTTAAATTTGAGGGAGGCTTTGTTTTTTAGTCTAGAGGTCAAATGCCAGGTGAATGAGGTAAAATTAGCGAAATTTTAGGTTAGTCTGATTTACAAAGGTATGTTTTTGTTCGGCGGCCATCAAACTCTTGAAGTTTATTCTATGTGGTTCTTAAGCAACCTTGTCTACGACTTCTTCACTAGAACGCCAACCTTTGCAAGACTGCGATCTTGCCTCAAAGACTACATTGCTGCTTCTTACTACTTCATTCAGGACATGTCTTGCATCACGGGAAACTAAGCTAGTAGATTTTGAAATTGCCATGGGGCTAAAAAGGCAACAAAATACTGTGAATTTCACTTTAATATAAACGAGGTAATATAGTTTTATTTATTAATACTAAAATTTTAGCTTTTCATCATCATCATCATCATCATCATCATCAACATCAACAATGTTACGAATTGAAGGCACGCTTCAAATTCGTGTGATTTTTCATCTTCAGGTGGGTTGCTCTTTTCCGAGCAGGCCATCTGGTTGACCATTAGTAATTGAGCTTGCCTCTTACTAGGTGCCTTACTTTTGTATCCTTGTTTCAGTCGAGACAAAGCTAAAAAAAAAAAGAAATCACGAATGAGCTTCCTGTTGTGGAATTAATGGTCAAGGTTCGATCCCAGGTTTATTCACATACTTCACATTTGTTCAACATAATCTTTCAGTCAGCCTTTTAACCTTATATCAGCAGACTCTGCTTAGTTATTAAGCTTAACAAAGATCCACATTAGAGGTGCTCCCAATAAGGGTGAATCTAGTCCCACCTCTACTGAAATGATTTACCAGAGTAAAATCTTCACTTTAACGAAGAAATCTGTTTTATGTGCAGCTTAAAAAAAAAAAAAGAAGGCGTCGATGGTAAGTATTGTCGATTTCCTCTTCTTGGGAAGTCAGTTTCAAATAATAAGCATCAAGTACGGTGCACTTGCACTGGTTTCAATGAATGAAAAGAAATTGATATAATTTTATTATTGATTTGAAACATGAAGGATTGTAACGAAAACAAATGCGACAAACACGGAGAATGAAAATCGCAAAAGAAAAGTTTAAAGCAAATAGAGGGAAATGTTTTGTTTTTTTAAGGAAGAGACTATGTTTTTGTTGCAGGTTAATGAAATCTGCATGGGAAAAAGAGAGAGGAACAGGAATGAAAAAAGATGAGAGAAAAGAAGAAGAATGATGATGAAAAGAAAGAAGGAAATATTTTTAAAAATGGATGAGGAAAAAGTAAACGAATTGATGATGATGAAAAGAAGGAAAAAAATAAGAAAAAAGTAGAAATAAATGATGATGAAAAAGAAAAAAGGAAGAAATTGAGGAAAAATGAAGTAGAAAAACGAAGAATTATAAAAAGAAAGAAACAAAAAAACAAACGAACGAATGAACAAACAAAGATGATGAGAACAGAATTAAGGAATGAATAATGATAATGGCGAAAGAAAAAAAATAGAGAGAGATTAGAGCAGAGTAGAGGAATGAAAAATGAGAAGAAGAAAAAAGAAAAGAATGACAGAGATAAATTATAAGAATGAGTGATTATGCAAAGAAAACAAGAAGAAAATAATGTAAAAATATGAGCAATTTATGTGAATGAATGATGGCGAAAAGGAAGAAGTAAAAGAAAGATACGCAGAAAAAAATGGAAGAATGTCGATGAAAAGAAATAAAAAGTAAAAGAATGAATGAGGAGGAAGAGAACAAAACGAAAAAGAAAATTGAAATCAAAATAGGAGAATGAATTATGATGAAAAGAAAAGAGTTTTTAATAAGTTGGAAGAATGAATGATCGTGAAAAATAAGAAAGAAGAAAATAAGAGAAGAATGAATGGTGTAAAAAATAAATAAAAACAAACATTGAAGAAAGAAAAAAGCCAGCAAGAAAGAAAGAAAGAAAGAAAGAAAGAAAGATGAATTAGAGAAATGAATGAGAGCTAAAAAAAAAAGAAATTCTTATTTCATTCTGCTCTCATCTTTCTCAATTCTTTTTTCTTGGTGAAAGAATAAAGAGAGTGAAAAAATGAACAAATGGAGTTAATGAAGAAAGAAATCAGATGATATGATGGAAAAAG